GGTGTCCCGTCTTCCCAGTACTCTTTGCTTTGAAACTTCTGATGGTTTTGGCTTCCACCACCACCACACTTGTTCCAACTGTCTACCACTCTGTTTGCAAAAGAAAACTTTCTAATATTTTTTGGCACCTTTGTTTCCTTAGCTTGAATCTGTGTCCTTGTTCTTGACATTTCAGGAATTCTTATTTGTCAATTTGGTGTGTATGTGTGTAATTACCTAGGTATAGTTACAGGATGAGATATGCTCTTTGGTATTTCTGTCTTTGGTATTATCTTTGTCACATGAAGTTTTTAAGTGTCCAATGGTTTTTCCCTATACTATCTTATTAAATTTGTTTCCAACCATCTATCACTTAGTTTGCAAAATAAATTTTTAATTTTTAATTTTTTTTAGTGCCTTAATTTTTTAATTTAAAAAATTAACCTGGCTCTCAATGTTGTTGATTAAAAAAAATCTCTTGGTATACTGTATATTTATATATTTTTTGTTTGTGTCACAATTTTGTCTGGACTGATCATATCATCTGTTTGGGCAATGTCTTACCAGTTATGGCATATTAAGTGCCTCCAACCTCTCTTTATAGAAGGTTGGAGTTTTGTACCCCAGAAAGCCAACCCAGATACATATACAGTTATTGGTAAACTCTTTCATGATCCAGCTATATTTAGGTACTGTATAATTATGAATTTGTTGTATCATAGGTTCTTACGTTAAAAATTATAATTTTCTAGGTTAGTGATGTCTGTAGAAAGGTTTGTTTTAATAATGTTAAAGCAGTGTGTATGCCTGTAATTTTAAGTATTACTTGGGTTATTTCACAGGTATTGTGTATCATCATGCGGGTACCAGTAATGCTAGTGTTAAATCCTTTCATTTAACACACACAACAAATAAGTGAAATATGAATGGGCCCTTAGATAGTATTAGATGCCATAATTTTTTGTCTTTTAAACAGGGGGGTTGGTGTGGAGGACCAATACCTGAATATATGGTAAATTAATCATGCGTGTGTGTGACGAGTTTATAATCTCCCATCACCATCACATGCTTAAATATTTGTTAACGGAATCCTTGGTTTTCTGAGAAATGGCGGCCCCATTTAAAGTTGTTGTGCATGTTTGCAGACAGAACCTGACGTTTACCGATCTTATGTTAACCTTGATTATCGTCTGTGTTTTAACAACACTTCCATAATTTTTTAAGCATATTGAAGTTTAGTACAATACCTTGCTTTTTGTTATTGTGTCATATGTTGCTGCAATACTTTTTTGGTTTATATTATTTAAATTAGTCCCTGTGGTTTTATATCTCCATAATCCATTTTCTTTCCTAGTTTGTGATTTTTAAACCTATCATAAATAAGTGACTGTTTGGGGAAACACTGATAACCAATTTGCTTGAATTCCCTCTCCTTTCGTGATGGAGGTTTTTCTGTTGTGGCCACTTCCTCTGGGAGAGGTTTGCCGAAGCCTGTTGGCATAAAAAGCATTATATGCTTCACTATTTTAATTCATGGTATATGTTCAATACCTAAAGATAAGTTATTTTTGTATTTACATTTATTTTTAATTTCACATTTAGTAGTGTTTTATAATTTGTATTATATTTAGTGTTTTATGATTTTTTTTATTTTTTTTATTTTATGTACTGTTGGCCCTGTACTCTTTATATGTATTATAGAATGCGTCTGAATAACAAAATTTAAATTTTCCAAGTTCCTTGCCTATGAAAATATAATACAAATTTCATTTTAGAAGATAGTGAACTTGATTATGAAATTACTGTAGTTTTACTATGTTTACTGTAGCTCCTGTGTTTGTGATGAGTAAGCTGCAGCTTATCGTACATTTACAACACATCATTTTTTGCGCTCAAATGTATTTATTTGTTGCTCTTTAGTTGCTATATGTCTGACTTTAAAACTAAATTACAGTGTCATCTGTATTTTTGCTACTTTAGGTAACATGATTTTTTTTTGTTTTTAAGTATTTCTCCTGAATGTTCCCTAAAAGAAGCTCGGTTAATGTCCATATTGCAAGTTCATGACAATCAGGTCACAGTGACAGTCATAACAAGTGAACTTTCCAAAACTTCTGGTACTGATTAAGAACTCTATCCACTCCAGAGTGATCACAGAAATGACACTATAAGTAAGGAAAGCCTTTCCAAGCCCTACTTGGCATCAGTAAGATTGCCTAGTAACACTGACTCGACTGCTAGTTTTCCAACTGGACTCCTATCACCACTGTGTGGTAGCAGCCATGCCAACCAAGGGTAGATCTACTTTGAAACTAATGAAGCTTAAGCATAAGGGCCCCTGATTCTGGTGGGGCCTCAGAAGCAACTTTAGTCCACATTATTTAAACATTTTGCCTCTATATATCAGATTTAAATCAGATTTAATTTGAACTCATCTGGGTCTATATACCCAGATTCAGTCTGGATAACAGTGGTTACCCAGGCCTGGATAAAAGTGGTTATCTTGACCTCATTGCTGGTTGCAAAGGGGCCTCCCCTTCATAGTAGTTCAAGCTTCAGAGTCTCAAATTGTAGGCCCACCACTGATGCCAACACCAGGTCCTCAGCCACGAGCCTTTATTACATTCCTCCAGATTCATTCCTGGGATTGTTTAGGTAGATTTCAGACTGGATTTAGTTATTTGAACTTGAGCTGGTCACTTGTTTAGGCATTACATGTATAATGACCAGTAACTTGGTTATCTTCTGTGTTCTGGCCCATTTCATACTTCAGTAAAGTAGTTGGTTCTTTTGCTTGAGGTTTCCAAGGATAATTGTTGGTCCTAGGTATACTGGGCTCTCTTGAAGAAGACTTCATTATCTGTCAGGTAAGCCATTTGTTTTCCCACTCAGGCCTCACCTTTGCTGAGTTTTTCAAGACTGCCCTTAGTTGTGCTGAAAATTTACTGTCCTGTTAATGGTTACGAGCAGGTGTTTATCGCTTGATACTATTGGTAGTTGAGAATTGATTCAAGATCTACAAATTGCTGCTTGGTGCATCCAGGTGGAATGCCATACACAGTTTTGCTTCTCCCAATGGTCACCCTTTTTGCCTCCAGCATTTCTACTGTTGGGTGCAGGGTTACTACCACTCTAGGGTGTGTTCAGTCTTTGTTCAAATCTTTGTTTTGTGGTTTCCCTTATTATGCAATTGGTAAATTTGAGATACCTGTGTTTAAATACTTATGCTGGTCGACTTGTTGCTCAACTCTTTGGTGGTTTTGCTAGATTTCCTTTTTTTTAAGAGGATAGTTTAATCCATCTGGTTCAGATGACTTGAGTTCTCAAGACTGGAATGGCTCCTCTCAAATCCAGCATTTGATTGCTCCAGCCAATGAAGTTTCAGCTGGTAAGTGTTTGTCTTCCCAACCCCTCTATTTGATTTACAAAGGGGGTTTATCTGGGGAAATAATTTACCTAGAAGCATTGCATTTTTCCTACAATTATGTTGAGGGAGTGTTACTTTCCTTCCTAATGGAAATCTGTGGTTCTGGTTGTGGAGCTGTTTTTAACCAAGGAATAGCCATGGGATGCAATTTGCTCCAGAGCAGAACTTGGTAACTGGATCTTCTACTTTCCTAGGCAAGGAGGGATTGGTAAGGCATTCTGTCTGCTTCCTATTGACTCTTCGTGTTGAATTCTAGACCTGGCATCAGATTTCTGGTTTGGGGGTATTATTCATCTTCATACTAAGTTTGAGTATGATGCTTCTTCATTTTTGCCATGAGTCCAGCTCATTACCTGCTGGTGGTGGACAATTTCCAGTATAATACTTCTAAGCTTTTCATAGTCTGTCTTCTCTGCTGTTCAGAGTAGGTGGATCATGAAAGCTTTCCTTTCTATATAGACAGGGCCTAGGCATCTGAACATGATTTTACTTAGAGTTTAGTTCACCCTTGGCCAGCTTCCTTTGTTTTCCTCTGAGTAAAGGCAGTACTGTACTTCTTTCACATACTCTTGCTTTTGGGAAGATCTGAGCGAAGTATCTTGGAAATCAAGTTTTTGAGTGTACCATGTTTAGAAAGCTTGGTACTTGGATGCTCTCATTCCTCTTGAGTCAGTGATTCTGCTGTGTGCAATGTTTCCTTTCTGTTAGTTAAAATGTGATGGGGCTTGAGGCTGGGGACCTGGTGTTGGTGCAGGCTTCGCCACAAGTAGAGCTGGGAAAGGTTCGAGTGTTGTAGGTGTATTGTCTGTGAGAACTCTTGGCTGGATTCAGCTTTTCTGCCTAGTGTTAGATAAGCCAGGCAGGGATGTTCAAAGGAGAACTGTACTGGTGCAGAATGTCACCCTGCCTTGCTCCGTGAGGCATTCTGTCAAATTGCACTAGCTTTAATTTTCACTCAAATGCTTAATTCGTATAGCTAAATATTGGGGGCTGGAAAATATTGAAGTACATTATAGTAAGCTACATATCAAAAGCAAGCACGCACTGTACATGCTTTATTTTTTTATTCCACTTGATAATTATTGCTGTTATACAGTACTATATTTGCATCAGATCTTATTCAAATTATGAAAAAAAATCGTAAAATGGAAAGATTGTTTGCTAAATGCATTTTCTGTAATCAGCGACATAAACACTGTAAAATCTGTATATATTTCCTGCTATAAATAGAGTGGCCACTTATTTACAGTATTTAGTAGTAGTGTATTATAGTATCTGTTTATTACTGTTTGATAGTGATTTGCATTGATCAAAGATTAAGTAATTATTCATAATTACTTTTTGCCTTTCATAACTTATATTTCTTTGTATTACGGGTATTGCTATATTTGCAAAATGCAGCATTAAACTCCTTAAGGGCTATGGTTGCTCAGATTTTGATTTTTAGCTAAAGTAATTCCAGAAAGTGTCAAAATAATTCATTGCTGTATATTTATATTTCTTACTTGTTGTTCTCTTGGATATGGATAACTTTTCAAGTTCATTCAATGGATTTTATTCTCATATTTACACACATTCTTAATATATTTTCTAGGCAGTTCAACGCATATTGGAAGCTCACGCTAATGTAAAGGATTTGCCACTGACTGACGCTAAGCTGCAGTACATTCGTGCTTGGCAAGCTCTTCCAGAGTATGGTATTGCCCTCTTCCTTGTCAAGCATATGGGACACAAGGTATGTTTCTTAAACTATTAGTTCTTTCACACTTACGGAACTTTATTTATATTAAAATCTCTTAAACTGAAAGTATGTAATTCATTCATTTCAAACTACCAGTTGAGTGCACACAATTCAGAGTTTTTTTTTTCAGAGAAGAACATTCCAATTTTTGTCTTGCAAAAGTCATGAACAGTGAACAGTTTCTTCAATATTTTCACTGTTCATATATTTAAAAGTGATTCTGAAGTTGGAAAGTGCAGCATAGGGTTCTTGTGCCCTGTCCTTTATGTTGTTCTCTAGTGACAGTTTACTATCCAGAACCACTCCTAGATCTCTTTCATTAACAGAATACTTTAAAGCCTTTCCACATAATTTGTAGATTGTGTGTGACCTATTTTCTCCTATTCCATAATGTGGCCATAATTCACATTGGATTCCATCTGTCAAACATTGCTCCATGTAGTTATCTTGTCTAGGTAATCTTGAAAGGCATGAAAATCATCTGATTCTGTATTTCCCTCTGGTAGATCCTTCATGCAGACAATGAGCATTAATGGTGCTAGAACTTAACCCTGTGGTACTCCACTAGTAACATTTCTCCAGCCTGGTGCATTGCCTTTGATTACTACCCTCATTTTTGTCAGAAAATTGTTCATCGACATCAGAAGTCTTCGCGTCACCCCTTTGTTCCAGTTTTTAGAACAGCCTCCTATGTGGGACTCTCTCAGAAGCCTATTTTTACGTCCAGATAAATGCAGTCAACTCTGCCATCTCTTTCATGTAAAGTCTGTGTGGCTCTCTCATAGAACATTACTAGGTTTGTTACACAGGATCTACCTGTTTGACAGCCACACTGTTTCTATATCATTGCTCTCTAGTTCTACCTATTTGATTTTAATGACCTTATTTGGATTGAATTCCAGCAGCTATTTATCTGGCCACTCCTGAAGTTTGTCAAGGTCATTTTGAAGTACCCTACAGTTCTCTTTCAGTTTTTACTCTCATTAAATTGGCATCATTGGCAAACATTGACATGTACGAGCTCAGTCCTTATGTGAGGTCATTTACATAAATAGAGAGATAGAGAGATGGTCATAGGACAAAGCCCTTTGGACAAAGTCCCATCTCAAGTCCTTATCCTGACCCCTTCCCAGTGCTATATTGTCGTGGTGGCTTGGTGCTTTCCCCTGATAGTTCACTTCCCTTCCTTTCCTTCATTTCTCTATTGATAATGCCATCCAATTTTTTCAGCGAGAGGAGTTGCTGGGTGTTGCATTCAACAGGATTATGCGAATGGACCCTAATACAGGTGACCACATAAAGACATGGCGCTACAATACCATGAAGGTAAAATTTCTTTATTTGATTTGTTCACTGTCATTGTTATTGTGGAAATATATGTAAAGTATTGGGTAGTTCCATCTTGGGAAGACCGTGTGAATAGTGCTCACTTCATTAACCACTGTACTGTGCCCATCATGATATCATAGGGTAAAGTGGGTGTGCCAACCTACATATGATGTTTGTTGGTACAGTATATTGTAAAATTCCAAACTTCTGTGGGTACAGAAGGCTGCTCTGTTCCTCAGGGCACCAGTAACAGACGCCATCTAGAAAAAAAATTGTCTGCATCCCTCCTGGCTGTGAGAGCCTCAGTACTGCCAGAACAACCAAGGCTGGTGCATGTAGCTGGGGCTTACAGCACAGCTGTGCAAGTTAGGGCCACAGCACCACTTAATAATGACTAAAATGTGCAACTGAAATTATTTTGCAATGATAGTGTCATAGATGATCCTGACTGTAATAAAAATTATGCAAAAGGTTCAGATATCAGTGAACACAAAACTCTAGTGATGATATTCACATTAGCAGGCAGACAGTCACAGCACTGGTTTCGAACTTCCGAGGTTTGTGAATCTTCACATCATGCAACATGATCTCATGTTCCTTTAGAAAATAATCTTGTGGAAAATTAATCATATTCATGATTTAGTAATAGGAATCTGATAATGGTAGCAGTGTTCGTAGTAATGATAGCAATGTACATAGTATATTTCTGGGGTATTTTGCTGTCAAATAAAGTTGTCTGCTCGAGTCAGCTGGTCATAGTGTGTAGCTCTATACTGTTCTAAGATTTCATTACCACACACACCAGAATTACTTAGTGGTTCATTGAGTTGGTCCAATTTCTGTGGAGAGCCCCTCCGGCTCCCTGGAGCTTACCGGACTGATATGTATGTATGTATTAGACCGTGGCATCAGTCAATTCGATTGCAGTTCTTGCCTACTGGGGACCACGAGCCAGAACCTGGCCCCCCTTCAGAAAGGCACGAGGAGTAATGGCCTATAGAAACCTCCAAGTTATTGGAAGCATTCCTTGTTTGCCATCGACTGGGTTAGGCACCCAGAAAGGTAGGCATTCCAAAACAAACACCACCTGGTTAAAAATTGCTACCGAAAACTGAGCTATCAAGCAGAACTCCCAATCCCGATAACAAGCATGACATCACAACCGCCGCCACGCTGCTGTCTGCACAGCTCTACCCTCCCTGGAAGAAGGAAGGGAAGTCCCAAACCCCCGTGCCAGCCAGCCAACTTCGGTTCTGAGGGTGAATATAAAAAACCCAAATACTGCCGACCGGAGGGAAAGGGGGTTGCTGGGGGGCCTCCGGAACTCACCAGGAAAATGGCAACTCGCCCAGAAAGAAAAAAATTATCTTTTATCTTTATCTTGAAAGATAATGATAAAGATAAAGTAAATTAAGCTTTCTTAATCTTTCTTCACAAGAGAGGTTTTAATTTCCAGATCTAACTGTATCATCCTTCTCTGTACACTTTATCAAGAATTTATGTCCTTTTCCAATGGACATGATGTCCAAAATTGAACTGAATGTTCTAAATGGTGCCTAGCAAGGTCAAGACAAAGCTGAAGAATAATGTTAGATGTTTTATTACTTATATTTCCTGTTGTGAATACTGGCATTATATTAGCTTTATTTTGGACATTTATACACTGATTTCTTAGATAAGATCCCCCTACTAATCATGACACTTTAGATATCTTTTTCCATTCCCCAAATAGCTTGATTTTGTATCCTTCCCCATATATATTGGTAAACAAGCTCAACCACCACCCACCAGCCTGTGTTGATTACATCAGCTAGTGCTCATTATATCATTACATCCCATGTAATAACCACACCTTCCTCTTTTCATACAGTCAAACTATGTCTATTGTTCTAATAAAACTGGTAATTTAACCTGCTACCGTGCCAATGTTTTATGTACTGTGTATATATATATTTCAGGCCTGGAATGTGAACTGGGAAACACGACACATGATGATCCAGTTTGAGGAAGATAATGTGGTATTTTCATGTCTGACTGCTGACTGCAAGGTTTGTGTTCTAGGCTCTGAAGTACTACAGTTTTGGTTGCGTCTAGGTGGTATCCTAGTCAGTCACAATACCACATTTTGAGAAAATAATGCTCACTGCTATCCAATGATAAGAATTAGAAATGTCAATTCAGTTAGTGGTTGGAAAGAGCAAGTTGCTGTATTTTTATGTTGATTTTACTGTTAGGTATATAATAAGTAAAGTTGAACATATACCATCAGATTTAAATGTTAATTTTATGGTTTTTTGAGATTGATTTTGTAATGCATTAATGATGGTATCCTACCTGATTTTTATAAAACTCTTCACTACTCATTTCTAAGTATCATACAGAAAGATCTCCGAATCTATTTTAAGTAAATGCAGTCCGTGAAAGGATTTTCCCAGGCCATCTAGAATTGACGTGGCAACCTTGCATTATCACCTAACTTATAATCCTTAGGTAAAAATTACCGGTCACCCTTTTGCCAAAGTCAGGTCAAAAGTCGCTCTCGCAGCAACTAAAGTACTCTCTCACTAGAGGCGTGTTCTACACTTAACAAGTCAGCTTTTAATACAAATTAATGCATATTCTTTTAATACCAGATATGTAACCTAAATAAACAGCTAAACTGTTACACCCTGACCCCACATGGTGAAGGCTTATACTCCCTGTACTTAATGGAACAACATCCTGCTTCCCTCTGTCCAAACTGCATTATTCCACTTAGTCGTGCACCTCCTTGTCAATTGCCCTGATTTTCTGGTTGCTCAAGTGTCTCCTAATATCCATTGTGGTTGTTTGTCTCTCATTAGAATCTATGGTGAATTGGATACGTTTGATATCTTTTGCCTTACGTCCTCCTGTTCTTGTATTGGCATCTTGAGTGATATTTAGCAGTTCTTGAATATCTTACAACACAAATGGTTCTACATGGTCTTCATGGCTTGATGTCTTCTTTGGTAATCTGTTAACTGGAGGAATATAAAAACTCTCTAGAAAGGTTTCATTTTGGAATGAGTGAAGCTCTACTTGAAATGAAGTTAAAGTAATAACCAAGAGGAGACAGACGGATAAAGACAAATGCAATGTCAGACAAACATACTGATATAAAGAATGATATTTTGTTGAATATTATGGTTTTTATACTTATTGCACATTAGATTCAACGAGATAATGAATTGCCATGTTTTTCACATTTTGTGTTAAACTAGACCACCCATTACAAAAGATTCAGTATAGAAAAAAAATTCAGCTTTTTTATCCAAATGTGAATTGAACATTACACATGTATATGGTAAGTATTTATTTGCCAAAGCAGATTCTATAATATTGTGTATATAACAAAAAATTGCTATTGTTTGCTAGTTTTTTCTAAGATGTATTTACAATATCTTGTGCTTTTATTTTGCAGTATTGTTTTAAAATTTGACTTGCAAAACATATACTGTAGTTAAGTAGTTTTAGTCAGAAAATTAATCCAACTTTGTTTGGTTTAGCTAATTCTGAAATATAGTAAACTGAATGTCGAAAAATTGCCCGGGGTACTGTACAGGGCAGTATTTGTGCATGATAGGGCAAAATTATAATAAATGAATAAGTAAAATATCTGTTTTGAACCTTGCTACTCATCTTGAGCAGCTCATGACACATTACATTACCTTCTTTTGTAATTTATTGACCAAATATTCCAGGTTGTGCACGAGTTCATTGGTGGATACATCTTCCTCTCCATGCGTACAAAAGATGCCAATCAAAATCTCAATGACGAACTGTTTCACAAGTTGACTGGTGGATGGGTCTGAAGTGTCAAGACTCCACTCTTCTTGAAATGGTTATTTTAATATCTTAAATGTTCAGCAAACTATTGCATGAATAACTTTTATTGACCTAAAAAATTCATGCTTATGAATTTAAAAATGTCATTATTGAATAATTTTTTACTGAAAATACTAAAGTCATTTGTGTACCGTTAGGTCCTGATGTACTGTATATTTAAATCTGAAAATGTAAGTGGACAAGGTTCAAACAAGGTTAACACAAAACAGATAGTGAAGCTTTAAGGTTTTCTGTATTGTACGAGTTAAATAAAAGTTAATCAGGTTTCTTCCATCATTGCCATCTTATGGCTTGAAGTCTCGAATGCTTCCAAGAATAGTGACAAGTGACATTGTTACCATATATAGTTATATCTGTTCAAAATAAATAATTTATTTGTTGATAAGCCATTATAAGTTAATTGTAAAATTGTTAATCCATTGTATATACACAACTGTGAGCTCTTCCATTTAATAGCCAAAATACACTTTGTAAAAAGCATGCAATTTATATTTTAAATGCTGTAAAAGAAGTAGCAGTAAATATTGACATCCAGGACATTCTCATCCTGTATTTTTCTTTAGTGCAGTTTGATCATGGCCATCAGTAGTGATTGACAGTTACATCAGTACTCGACTGTGTTAGCTTATCATTACTACCCACGTTAAAATTACCACTTAATTAATCAGAACATTCATTATATAATTGTCTGCATTCTGACTTGGGACGCAGTAACCCAGACTCCAGCTGTTAGAATGTGGAAGTGTTTACAACACAAATGGCAGTAGTGTTACATTATTTACTTTTTAATAGCAGTGTTTTACAAATTAAACATTATGCTCAGAAATTGCACATATGAAAATAAAGAGGTTTTAATAATAATTTCAGCTTGAAGTAATACAAATTGAAGAAATTTCCCCGATGCTGTTGCAATTGTTAGAACCTTTACAGTTGTATGTTTGCTAGCTTTTATTGAATTATATATATTATATAACTTACGAGATCCTGGCACATGTTCAATGTGTGAATAGTGCTTTACAGCACTGTATGTGTAAAGGTCACATATGAGTAACAGTTTATAAAGAATGAATCAACTTTATATAAATAGGCATGACTTATTTAACCTGTTATTTCTATTGCTTATGAAATGTTTTGGTATAAACACAAATATTCTAATGCTTAATATATATATATAGATAATGTTTTTTTTATTAAGTGTTATACTGCATTTGCATAGTAGTACAAGGCAGTAGTTCAATTTTATCATAGTGACTTCATGATTAAGATACATTATTTAAATTATTAGGATATAACTTTTTATTGTACAAGCTCTACGAAAAGACTTACTGAACTGATTTTAAATATTAAATGTTAATATGCTAAAAGGGAAATAAGGGAAGTTTTCATTTTTCAGACTGCATAGATAATGCTTGAAGTAGTTGTGGAAATAACATTAATTGTTGTAGGCATTCATTTAGACTGTTGCAAGCCGTGCCCAACGTGTGCTATGGGGCCCGTGCTCAAGAGTTTATACCCGGATTTCCTTTGCTATGCTCAAAATAGTAGACAATCATGAAGGTATTTACAGTACATAAAAATGTACACTGAAGTTATTTTGGCAGAATTTATGATGGTAATGCACAATATTATAGACATTACAATGACATTATAAATATTATATTAATTCTTGACACTTATTCACTTGGTAATAGAAAGATAAGGAAATAATTGTCCTTATACTGATGTATATCACTAATTGCTTTTGTAAATGAGGCTTTTATTCTACGAAATTGTAAATGGAAAATTTTAACCGATTTATGAAGAAAAAAGTCTTAAGTAATTTTGCATTGTACAAATTTTTGTAGTACTGTAGTAAAATAATTTTAGTGCTTAATTAGTTGACCAAAACTTTCATTGTTATCAATAAAATGGTCAAAATTATTAAGGGAAAATTTTCATTTTCAAATTTCAATTATTAAGGGAAAATTTTCAAATTTTTATTTCAAAATTTTAATTGTTAATTCAAAAATTTTGATGCAGACATGTAGTGTGTGGTGAAGACAAGTTATCCTGTATTATGTATCACACATTAGTCTGCACAACTTAACTGTCTGGACCTGATGTTTAAACATTAATCTCCTTACACGCCTTATTTTCTATGTATTAACCAGAAATAATTGAGTAGTGTGTATGTAAAATAAAATGGCAAGGTGTTAGACCATTTTCAATCCAGATACGTGATTAGGATTCAGACTGTATAGGTAATTTCTACAATATATTGACCTCTGTGAGTTGTGTGAACCATGTTAGACTGTGTTCCTAGGTATAATGACAAAGAAAAACTCTTGCTATTAATGATCTTTGCCAACTGTAGCCTTATTAATGGTGCCTACCTATGCATTTAGTGCTGAATGGCTTGTAATATGCAGTATAAATGTTTTTTAATCAATGAAGAAGTTGTATTTAATTTCATATTCTGCCAATAATCATAGCCTTTAAAATGTGAGGGGGGGTTATTTATGGATATATGGAACTAATTGTCAAATTCTTAACCTTCCCTTTCAAAAATTATTAAATGATCTCCAGAATTCTGGATGGTTCGAGGCTAGCGAGAAACCTTTAGACGGACTCTATATATGCATTCTTCACATACGTATTCCTTACCCTCTTTCTTTTTGCATTTTGTTTAAGTAAAATTAATCAATTTTTTTCATAAATTATGCACCACATACCCATCCCATGGGTGGTTGGCAGGATGCTCATCTCTCTTTAAATCCCATGATATTAAGTACAGTATACTGCTGATTACTGTACTTGCTTTTTTTTATGTTCATTGCATATTCTTATTATATTTATATTTCACGAGTTATATGAAGTACCATATTAAATGCTGCTTTCAGTTCAAAGCCGTGGGGTGTGTAATTTCACGCAAAGTAATTAAATGTCAACTCGACATTACACCCTGAAGTAAAGCTGTCACTTTAACCCCTAAAAGAGCAGCTGTTATCAAAAGTGCCTCTGACTGTGTAAAACAACAATAATAATAATAATCATAATAATTTCTTATCGATACATGCATGCACAAAGGAAGAAAAGGGAAAAAATGTCAATGTGAGAATCAGCACTACATACAGTACTAATTTGCTGCCTCGTAGTGTAGGGCTGGAATGATGAAGTTGGATGGTGTTGATGTTTGTGGCTTCACTTATTAGTTTACATTATGCATTTTTTGTGTTGAATAATTTGATTTATGTAGGAACTTCTGACAAAAACAGTGATAAGAGAACCTTTTAGCTTTAAATATTTACTTCATTTGTTCTCATTCAATTTTTTTAATATTTTCACCAGTATTATTGCAGAGATTCCACCAAGAAAAGTCTCAAACATACAGTTGTATTAAGTTTTGACATGTAAAATTAAATCCTATAACCCTAACTGTTCTAACAAACTTTCCCGAGCTTGTCATTTTTACTCATGACCAGATCCACTGTTGGAGTGTGATTTTCTGTTGTTTTCTCAAACTTAACCAGAAAGTTTTTAGTTAGTTCATTTATTATGCACCCCATACCCATCTTGTGGGCGGTAGTGGAAAGGGTTACAGAGGCACATAATGGGCTCAGGGACTGAACCCCACAATTCATTTAGCTAAGCAAGTTACAATCTTGATGAGCTAGTTACAAAATTCAATATAAGTCGTCACAGAAATTTTTTATTTGATTAAAAATAGGTTTTAACTACATAAGTATATTTATTGACCAGGGTGTTGTTAAAGTTATTTGACCATTAGCAGTTTATTAGCAATTGAATCTTTAAATCTCCCTCACTTCGTTGCACATCCCAAGCATTTGTGGACTTCATTATATAAAAATATTTTTGCTGAAAAATGGAGGAAGTATTAAATATCAATGTTAAAATAAGCATTTTTTTTTAGTAGAGTGGTGAAACAATGGACTTTGAGGTCTCTGACCATATCTTATTTTTCTAAGTTATCTTTTACATATCTAAGTTAATTTGTGCATTTTTGTTTTGCAGGAACATAATCTCTGTGCAAATTGATGGCTGTCTGAATGATTTAAAATTTAACAATTTACTCATTAATGCTGTGTGTGATTGAATTTCTGGTTATTTTTCATACTTAAATTCTATTCTATTAACAGATGTAGTATTTCGGTTCTTTTATCTTCACTGTTCATGTCATTGCCTTTGTAATTTCCAAATTTCATTACAGGGTACTTGTAATCTGCATCAGGTTATTTTTGCTCTGCACCGAAACTGTTATCAGTCTATTTCTTTCATTGTCCAATTTTGTTCTTCATTTCCAGTTAAAACATTACTGATACAGCATTTGTAAGACTAATTCACTGAAGAAAATAAAACATGTATGGTATGATATGCATAACAAAAGAATGGTTGATGTTAAGCTCGCAGAGTACACAATAAAAAATGACATTGAAACCTTATGGTAATGCAGACATGTATGAGTGATGGGACAAAATCAGTCTCGGTGTTGAAAATAAAAATGACTGAATAATATTAACTACTTACTGGAGTGCATTATCTCCAGAAAAGATACAGGGTGTTACATAAATAAAAACAAAGCAACATTGAATAAATAGTTTGAAACTCGAGACCTGAGCTTGTCCCTCAATAGATATCTTAATGAATCTGATACCATCTTGCCATCTTGATTGATATTTAACACCTTTTGAATATCTAGTGACACAAACTTTGCTACATGATCTTCCTGGCTTGGTGTGTCTTCTTTTGATAATTACTTAGTTCTTGAGACTCCATGGCTCCTATTAATACCGAGTTGAGGAAGTGTTTGATGAGCCACAATGCAGTATTAACGTGGTTGATATTCCTGCTGAAATGGTATTCCTGCCAATTAATGTGGAAATCATCAAATTCTTTAAAAGATCAGGGAGAGAACAATATGAAAACTGGAAATCGAATTGCAATCATGAATTTACCTCAGCCCCAGAAGGACAAACAAAAAATGACTATACTGTACAGTATAGCACTGTATAGGTTGTGAATTCTTGGAAGGAATTCTCGTTAAATAGCTGAGCATTCTTTAAAAAAGAAACTTGAGATTTTGTTAATGTTAGTAGATAGTTTCTGACAGTTCTGTTTACTTCCAAGCTCGGGCAATTTCTTCTCAGAAATTCAGATGTCTAACTATTACTACAATTCACACTAACACTATTTTCTCTTTTATCATTCAAATTTTTTTTTAACTTTAATGCAATATTGTACAGATGTCATTCTTGTTTACATTACTGTATTGCCAGCCAGTTTAAACCATTTATTTTCTGGATCTGGATATCAACATTTCTAGCATTAGTTCTTTTTTAATTTTCAGCTGTAAACTTTACTATCTGCAGGTTATTCTTTCTGAATAAAATAAGTTTCTTTGGATACAAGGTAACGAGCAAAAGTTTTATTCCATATGAGCATTGACGACTTGCAATGCTCATTGCTCAGGAAAATTTAGTTTCACAACTAGGATTGTCTGCACTGTCCCTTCCCCAATGTTTCCAGTCAATCAAATTTTCTGTTTGCGGTATGTGATGTTGGACACGAAAATTTATGTATCGGAATAGAATTTCAAATGTTTTCATAGGTTGTTTTGTAAACGGGAACCAGATTTTCTATAGGTGCAATACTGTAAATTGAGAATACCCGGTATGTCCCAGAACAACTCATAATCAACATGTAAAAACATTTAGGGAAAGTAAGCTAACATGAATGAGCATATAATTTATCTTGAATTATAATGTTCTGCAAGATAGACATTGCAATTTTTGAAGCATGAAGTGGTCTGATTAATAAGAGCTGTTAATGCCAAGCACTTGTGTGAGATCTGTGTTCTCTCCCCCTACTTAGATTGCTTGACTATTTCCACCTTCATGTGTATGTTAGTGTGTCACCTCTTCCATGGCATGAGTGTGCATTTTCTCACTTCCTCTTATCAGCCATTATTAAGGATATTTTCGTAGATAAATAGCTAAAATACATTGGCCCATGGAATGCATCATATGTCTGCACTTATCACAAGAAGATTCCTGACTGGGCAGTGTTTGTTGACTGCAGGGCACCCACAGGCTGTGCACATGGAAAAGTAGCCTTTTGTATTTCAGGGGACGTAGGAATAAGTTCAAATAGCAGATGATAGCAGAAACTAAAATTGAGACTTAGGTTGTTGATCAGACCACACACTAGAAAGTGAAGGGACGACGACGTTTCAGTCCGTCCTGGACCATTCTCAAGTCGAAGTCAATTCTCACAATCGACTTGAGAATGGTCCAGGACGGATCGAAACGTTGTCGTCCCTTCACCTTCTAGTATGTGGTCTGGTCAACATACTTCAGCCACGTTATTGTGACTCATCGCCTGCACTTAGGAGGTTGTTCGTTGTAGTAGATGGTTTAAATCAGAGACCCCCACTGTTTAAGAAGAAAATGAGAAAAAACAATTATGGGACTGTATTAGCGCTCACCCTTATAAAAAAATATTAAAGTTACTACCAATAAATTGTTCTTTGTTTCATTATATACCATTATGTATTTGACATGAGCAAAGTGGGGTTATTTGACCATAGAGGTTGGCATAACCCTAAACATCAATACCAACCAATCTGTCTGAAGATTGATGATTGTGACCCATTTGAGTTGGTCATGACACAGATGAGCTTGTAATGGTAGTGATTTACATTTAGGTGGCAAGATTGTGGTGAGCATTTTGGTGAATGATTAATGAGTTGTTATAGTGCTAAACACAGAATTTATAAGTTTTAAATTCTTTTGTCGAATACAACCAACTTGATTTTTTTTTTTTTTCTTTTTTATAAATGAGGGGCATATAACTTTATCTTGTCTTACTGCTCTCGTAATGGCATCCTGAATAGAATCTAAGAACTTTAAAAACAAAAATATTTGGTGAGACAGTTATGCTATGTAGCCTTCTGGGTTTGGTACTTTTTGATAATTATAATCATGCCAATATGGTATACATTACTGTGTAATTAAATGGCTGCAGTATTAGCTTGAATTGGGTAACATGTCGATCATTCTGCTATTCTTTTCAAAACTGTTGGTTCATGCATCCAGCATCCTGTCTCTAGCTGTATAGTCTACTTTTAAAGTTTTAATGGCAATATAACAATGATGGCTTTTGGGAAGGAAGTAGCCATGTACTTTTCCCTCTCCCATCCAAGAGCATAAATAATCTGAATAAAAGTTGGTAATATGTGAATGTACAATTTATAAAATGTTTAATACAGTTATTATGGATTTTGCAAAGGTTTATACACAGTTTTTATGAAATATTAAATATAAATGGGTACTTTACAGATAATGTACTTAAATAATATCAAATTTATTTAAACTTCCATGTTACATCTTCCCCAAAGTTAAATTTTGAATGTGCCACTACTGCATAATATTCTTTATTGCAATTTTTGCTTTCTGTGCTTGTGTGAGAATGTTAGTTTTATCACTGTCAGAAGGCTCTTTATTAATTAATGAATTTAAGTACAGTACATTTAAATAATATGAATATATTAAGAAGTTTAGCATGCATGTAAATAGCAATGAAAAAATAGCTATTCCAAACCAAACCAAAATCATTATGGGCTGGAATTGCTGTGTCATTGTATGTAATATGAGATTGTGTGTGTGTGTGTGTTTAATTACCTAAGTGTAGTTACAGGATGAGAGCTATGTTCATGGTGTCCTGTCTTCCCAGCACACATTTTTTTTATAATGCTTCGAAACTACAGTACTGATGGTTTTGGCCTTCACCACCATCTTGCCTAACTTGTTCCAACCATCTCCTATGTGCTGAAAGAATGTGGGTCTGACTCCCAAATGCTAAAGGGATGATGAAGGTACAATATAACCATCATATTGTACTGTTTAAATAGTAAATGAATGTATCACACTGATACACAAGTTCTAATGCCATATGCAATTGAATATTCCAGAGATTGCTGGTCATGTTTTTATTGATTTCAGATGTGAAGCCGCCTTGTGTTGTATTAAGACTAGTCCAAGTTTTGTAAAGGAAAATGCCTAACAATTTATTTGGCTAATACATGCACAGAATATGAGCATATTGCCATGCAGCCATAGTAGCAGAAGCAGGAATGAATAATACTTCTAATGGACTGAACTTTTCATAATGCCATTTGGCATGTCTTATCAAGCTGAGGTTCTATATTGTTTTTCATTCTGAATTTTGTAATTTGTTAGCAACTTGGGATTACTGTATTGTGTAACAGTATCAACATGTCCTTCATGCACAGTTTATCACTTATTGAGCAATTATTGGTTCTTTAATTATTAACTACAATTGCAGACACTTCATTGACACCCTACAAGGTATGAACAGCAAACTGAACAATGGCATCATTTAAAGTAACACATTGAAACTCATAATGTCTCAGTTGTTTTGTGTTTGTTAAAGCTAAACTTGGCTCTAGATGGTGTTCATGTATAATTATAATATTTACCTTAGTGTTTAGTTGAACTACAGTTACTAGCTGAAGAGTTTTCCTTTATTTCATTTAAATAATTAGTTGACATGTTAAAATACTTATATATTTTTGACTAAAATAATATTTATATTACATAGAAAACCATAATGAACCTGTCAACTATGACTTGCATATCTTGAGGCTTCTGACCCTATCTGCTGCTCTCTTCTGACCCCATCTGCTCCTGCCCTCATTTGCTCTTCTCTTCTGACCCCATCTGCTCCTCTCCTCTGACCCCCATCTGCTCCTCTCTTCTGACCCCATCTGCTCCTCTTCTGACCCCATCTGCTCCTCTCTTCTGACCCCCATCTGCTCCTCTCTTCTGACCCCATCTGCTCCTCTCCTCTGACCCCCATCTGCTCCTCTCTTCTGACCCCATCTGCTCCTCTCTTCTGACCCCATCTGCTCCTCTCTTCTGACCCCATCTGCTCCTCTCTTCTGATCCCATCTGCTCCCCACTTCTGACCCCATCTGCTCCTCTCTCCTGACCCCATCTGCTCCCCACTTTTGACCCCATCTGCTCCTCTCTTCTAACCCCCATCTACTCTCCTCTTATGACCACATCTGCTCTCCTCTTCCCAACTCTTACTTTATAAATATTTATGTGAATAACCAGAATGTGTGACAGTTTGTAAATACAAATTTGATTAAGTTTTGGTCATTTTCTTAAAAGCTGTTATAGTACTGGGCTTCTCTGCTTCCATAAACCTATTTACTGTAGTGATGTAATTGGTCCTTGTGCCAGGGGAAAGTACATTGCTAAATAATTTACCAAATACATGTGATACCAAGATACAATAATGTGTTTTATATCATCTTCCTTAATACCGTAGTGTAATAAGCATGTTCTGTCTACTAAAACCCATTCATTTATCATTGTTCTCCATAGGCAACTTTACAATGAACTAGCAAGGACAGTATTAATTATATTTTCAGTGTGTTTATTTTTTAATAAATATCATTCTTTGATAAGTTCTAATCTAATATCTGTCATCTGAGTTTTTGTCATATGAGGCATGAATGATGTAACAGATAAACAGCCAAATTTACCAAATATCCCTAATTTTGTATGGATATTTCAGAAACTAGATGAGAAACAGATAAATGACTGAACACTGTAAAATGTGCTGAATATATAACTAAATATGACAAAATATCAACATTTTTGTGTAGGTATTTCATCTAATGACAAACCAAGAAACAAGATGCTTATATAACCATAACGTTATCTTGGTACCTTTAAGGTACCAAGAGAACAAATGTAAAATGTTAAGGCTGTCAAAGCAGAACAAAATAAATTAGGATTATATTTGTTAAATAATCCACAACTACAACTCTTAACTTAATTATAAACCTTATATAGTCTATATCATCAGAAATTCAGAAACATCTATTTTCACATTTTTGTCATTAAAGTACCTGTATATATTTTGAACCACATACTCATTCTAGGAGTCTTAGTTTATTGTGCACCCCATAGTCATCATGACACCCAAGGGGTCCATGTAATCACCCCAAAGCTAATTACCCCAGACGAACAGGCCTGCGGTTTGTAGCTTGGTCCACCAGGCTATTTGACGCCGCTGTTATTTACACACATGGCATTATATGTGGATATTTAATCAATCATTGACTAACATTAGTAGTCCAAATTAGCCTAAATTAATTAATTTTTTTTTTTTTTTTTTTTTTGAGATATATACAAGAGTTGTTACATTCTTGTACAGCCACTAGTACGCGTAGCGTTTCGGGCAAGTCCTTAATCCTATGGTCCCTGGAATACGATCCCCTGCCGCGAAGAATCGTTTTTTTCATCCAAGTACACATTTTACTGTTGCGTTAAACAGAGGCTACAGTTAAGGAATTGCGCCCAGTAAATCCTCCCCGGCCAGGATACGAACCCATGACATAGCGCTCGTGGAACGCCAGGCGAGTGTCTTACCACTACACCACGGAAACTGCTAATTTTAAATTAGCCCAACGTCTATAAGGATAAGGGGTTGATTTATGAGTGCCGGGCACTCAATACTAACTAGCCTACCTTGCTACTTTTTTAACATACATATAAAACATTTGTGTTTTTTAACGAATTTACGTGAAATAAGCATTGTTCTGAGAGAGAGTTACTCTGTCGCTGGATCTGTGCGGGATCGGAGCTCGGCGATTATAAAAATACACGTATCTTCGCTTTAAATTCAAATATGCCCATGGTAACGTATTTAAAATGAAGCTTATGTTTCTATCTTTCTTGAGACGTATTAATAAACTCTTATGCTTATTAACGATTCTGCGTGAAATAAACATTGTTCTGAGATGAATATTGCGGATTTCCGGCTCTACTAGCGATGAAAAAATGCAACAGATGATTCAGATTCAGATTCAGATGTTTATTCATACATACAAGTGATGTTACAGTAATGGATTGATATATAGATTAGTACATACAATGCCTAAAGCCACTATTACGCAATGCGTTTGCATCTAGAATATGAGCTTGAGAACAAATACAAATAAAGATAAAAAAAAGGGGGAAACATGACTGAAAAAGCAGCACAAATACAATAGGTTGACAAACAGTGTTGATTAAAAAAAAAAAAAAAGAAAATAACAGACATGGGTTGACAATAGAGGAGTGAGGTAGATTACAGGGAATTTATTAGGTAGTGTTTAGTTTTTATCTTAAACTGGTTGAGAGAGTTTTATACTTTTATACAACTTTTATAGAACTTTTATACAACTGCATATATCTTCGGTTTTACTTTAAATTTTGTCCTGGAAGAGTTTTCACATATGGATCCTGTTTCTGCCGTTCTTCTGACATAAAAAGATCTTTGGTTGAATAAGTTAAAAAAATGTTTTCAACAATATTATTAGGGCGTTCACCGATTCCAACATGGGTGACCCCTTTTGGAAACGCAACACATGGGTTGACCCGATTGACAGACTGGTCAGGTTCCAATAGGGACTGAGACGTTATAATGGAAGGGGCCCTTCCAAACAGTAACAGCTCTCCTCTTTCCCCTTCTCACCATCTTCCATACGCCAACAGGAGTCATCAGCAAGGGTAAGTAATAACTTGAACATACTTTGTAGTGAAGATTTGGGTGAATTAGGTGGAGTGGGTATAAACTGGGTATGAAAAACAAGAATTGTTGTTGTTGTCTTGATTTAGGGGCGACGACGATCGTGGGATCGGATGCGCCCTGGCTGTCCCATACCGGGAAATAGCGGAGGGATGGGGTCCCTATAGTCTCTTCAGGCCATAGACCCTGCAATCTCCTCAGACTTCATATTTTACAGTCTCTTCAGGCCACGGACATGACGGATGAAGCGGAAGGTATGGCGAAGGATGTCATGACGGACGTCTTCGTCTCTCGCACCGGCCCCGTCAAGGAGAACGGGAACTGTGAGGCGAGGAATATTCAGCCTACGAACGGCACTCTGTAGTCTGACGCGAGCGCTATGAAATCGAGGGCAGTAAAGAAGGTGTTCCACTGTATCCTTCTGGGTCGGACACCACTGGTCACGATCAACTGTGGTGCGCTGGCGATAAAATTGCGTAGAAATTGCGTCTTCTTAAAAAGGGAGCGGGCATTCCAAAACACCACAGTATTCTCAGGATGGGGCGCTATTATCCCTGAAAAAAGAAACAGCTAACTTTCTGACCACCTGTACACAGATGTCTCCAAAGGGGGAACCACCAGAAAAAGCCATAAAACCCTCAAACAAAGTAAGTAAAATGCGTGGTATCAATGACAGCCAGTCCAGAGGATGTTGATCAATGCTTCTCTGCCTGACGGAAGCGGTGATCGACTCAGGAACTCTCTTGACGACGCCTGCGACTGGTGGGTGCTTCACTCTGGGCCTTATGTTCCACCGGTGTCACAATCCCCTGGGAAAGTGCCTGCGGGAGTAAAGGATCATCAGGGCTGTCTGTTGGAGCAGTACCTCCTAATCGATGAGAGTGTCGACGACGCCGGTGTTGGCTTTTTGGGGGGAGAGGCAGGAGGGTGACGAGTGCCAAGCTCCGGCCGAGACTGAGTGTCCATGTCTGTATCCGTGGATGAGTTTTCGTCCATGACAGAGCTCAGGCAAGATAACTGGGAAACTTTTGTTAACAGTCTCAACTCTCACACCCCCCTCAGCCAGGCATGGAAGGATATTAAAAGAATTAAAGGCGATAAGCTCGGCCAAGTAGCACACCCTCACCCTCTACACAGAGCAAACGAGTTAGTCGATGCTTGGGCAACCACCTCTAGCTTCAATAATCTTCCCCAGACATACAGTTCAGATTAAATGCTGGTTACGGAGATCGAGAAAGGCTCGTTGACTTCATGCTCCACAAGGAAGATGAATGCAACGTGCCATTTACTGAGTTTGAATTACTCGCGGCCCTAAACAAAGGCAAAGCCACATCCCCCGGTGAAGATGGTATCACTTATGACATATTGCGTCTGCTCCCTTTAGTACCAGGGAATCCCCTACTTGAGCTGTATAATATGAGCTATGTTACTGGGGAGCTTCCTAACTCTTGGACCAACAGTATAATCATTCCAATTCCCAAGCCAAATCAAGAGAATGCTTTCCGCCCAATTTCCCTTACTAGCTGCATTTGCAAAACATTCGAGAGAATGGTCCTAAACCGTCTCCTCCATAGAATAAGAACCATGCTATCCCCCCAGATATATGGCTTCATGCATGGAAGGAGTGTGCATCATTGCATCACCACCTTTCTTACCCTGCACACTGAAAAGTCATATACCACCTTCCTAGATCTTAAGTCTGCCTTTGATATTGCAAATAGACATGTTATCTTGAGTGAGCTTGCAAGAATGAATATTGGTGGTCGGCTTCTTTGTTGGATCAGGGGTTACTTATCCAACAGGAAGTCATCTGTATTTTTCCAGGGGCATAGAAGTGTAACAAGAGACTTTGAACTAGGCACCCCGCAGGGTGGTGTCCTCAGTCCTACCTTATTCAATATCTTAATAAACACGCTGTTAAACTCTGTACCGAGCAAACCCAACGTCCACATCATTAGCTATGCTGATGATATAATGATACACACCACTGGGTATGCTAACACGCAGAACACTCTTAACTCTGTATTAGACTCATGTCAGGACCTAGGTTTAATTATCTCAGCAGAGAAAACAAAGATATTAAATCGGCGCCCACCCAGGCAGGGAGGAGCTGTTCGCAAGATGCAACTGTCTGATGGCTCCCAGCTTGACTATGTAAACAGATTCAAATACCTTGGCCTTGAGGTGCCACTGTACGGTCCTGTTGTATTCAGACTCTGTCGTCAGTTTAAAGAGAGGCTCCGAGCTCTCAAGGCTGTTGCAGGTTATCACTCAAGCTATGGTGCCAATGTCAGAATTGTCAAAATGATGTACTTTGCATACATCAGATCTTTAGTAGATTATGCTGCACCTCTGCTTGTTTTGATGCCTGAAAGAAAGCTTGGAGGGCTTGAAAAATTGCAAAACGAAGCCTTGAGGATAATCCTTGGGTGCCCTCGTACCACAAAGATACTTAATATGAGAAAGGAACTTAATATTCTGAGCGTTGTTGATCGTGTTACTGAAATTAACTGTCAAATTGGTATAAAAATGCTTAGGCTAACTCATCCTAATCCTTGCACAGAAGCCCTCCAGAATTTCTTTATTGAAGATCAGCATTGTTCCAAATGGATAACAAAAACTGGAACTCAACTCAGAATGTATCAGGTTCATGATTTGTACCAAGAGAAACAACAACGGCACTTTCCTGCACCGTGGGAGGTTACACCCTTTCCA